ATGGTGTCTTGTGATCTGCCTGGCTGATTTCCAGCGTGGTCCAAGGGCTCTTCTGATCCAGACTCTAATTCATCTCCTGCCCAAGTGGTTTACAGTGGGATATCACTGCCAGATGAACGCTTTATTAGAGCTGCTGTAAAAGTTACTAGAGCCAAACGACAGCACCCAGGGAAGAGATGGCACCTCCCATCTTTACGCAGAAAGATGCTTTGAAAATGCAAGCTGTGCATTATCCCCGCAGCATCCTCTGCAATGAGAGGCACTCTCAGACCCACCCCAGTACTGCCTGTGCCCCAGGGAGAGCTGGGCTGTACCGTCTCCTGTGACACCTCGCTCCCCTCTGCGCTGAGCTCACCTGAGACTGCAAACAGCAAGTGTCTTATCTCCCTGTGCAAGGCTCAAAACCCATCAGCACGAGTAAGAACTGGGTGTTACATCCCCCGTGTATCTAAGAGTGTGTTTCAGTCATCCTGACTGATGTCAGGGATACTTCAGCCTGTTAGTCAGTATGCAGATGTATTCACTCCCACCCATTCCTGCTTATAAATGAGTCAGGCAATCAAGAAACAAATTAGCAAGCAAAAAGGAAAATGCTTCTATTTTTTCTTTCCCTAACCCTGCTTAGGGAAGATCCTGGTTGCATCACCTGCCAGCAAATAACCAGGGGGCATTTACCTACCCTGGGTACAGACTGGGGCTGGGTGAGGGTCTTTTCTGCTCTGGTAGCATTTGGTTTTGGTAAGAACTAGTGCTTACAGCCAGTCTCAAGTCAAATGAAAGGGTTGAGTTATCCCCCCATCGCTCATGGTGAGGCAGGAGGACCAGAGGCATTGCCTGAGCTGTGGATGACAGTTGTCCCACACCCTTGGCTGCTCTCTATGTCCCTGACTCAGAGTTTAGCTCCCTGGGTGTTCTGGAAAGGTTTCCACTGTTGCAGAGGCTTGGCTGGGTCTCCTGGGCTGCATCTCCTCCCAGCTTCAGAAACAGCCCCTTGGAGCTAGCCGTGCTTGACAGAGGAGCACAGAAATCACTGCAATGAAGTCTGGAGAACCAGGATGGGGGAAGCACCCAGGCACCCTGACCTGCAGGGTACCTGCTGGTGCACGGGCATCTGGATACTCCATGCTGCTCCTGCCCTTGCTGGGGCTCCTGGGCATGCCTGTGGCTCGTGGTGAGTACAGGAGCATGGGATGTACGGGGAGGACCAGTGAGACCTGTCTGGATCCCACCTTGCTGCTCGGGGCTGGGGTGGGTGATGCCACCACCATCCCCAAACCTGGGGGGACCCATTGCTTGATGCTCTCATGGATGCAGTCCTGCCTGGCACCTTTGCCTGCAGAAGAAGCCTGGGCCAGCCCAGGAGCTGGGATGCTCAGTGGGGCTGGGGAAGGGGCCAGGGAATGGAGGCCTCACCCAAAATGGTCTTCTCTTACCACAGGTGACTGTGGGCCCCCACCTCCCATGACCTACTCCAGGCCATCCGTTGATAAGCACACCATCAGCTTTCCTATTGGATCCAGCGTGATGTACACGTGCATCGAAGGCACCATCAAAATCCCTGGGAGATCAGACATGGTGAAGTGCCTGCCTGGCGCACGCTGGTCCATGCTGCCCGAGCCCTGCGGCCGTAAATACCTCCTTTCTCTGAGACCCAGCTCCAAAGAGCCTCTTGCTTGGCTTCACGCTTCTGCCCTTTACTGTGGCTGCTCTACAGTGGCATCACCACCCCTGGCAAGGTACAGACCCACTTCCCATGGCTGCTGCTTGTTGATGGGTGCAGGATCCCTGCTGGTCAGTGATGGGGTCAGCTGGATGGTGGCTGGAGCCCACGATGCTCCTGCACCTCCCAAACCCTGGGTGTCAGAGGCTGCAGAGGCTGCGACTCCTTATTTCCTACTAACAGCTTTGCCTGCGCCGTTATCACATCTCCATCCTTGTTTTGCCAAAGGGCATGCAGCAGAATAGCAGCCTGGTAAGAAACCAGCCATAACCTGTGCTGAACAGGAGGAGCTTTCCAAAAGCACCATAGCAAGAGCAGCTCTGCAATGCCGGGGTTTATTTTGCATGCTTCCCCCAGGGCAGCTCTTTCAGGTCAGGTTTCCTTGACTGCCAGGGAGCTGCGCTGCCCCGACAAGGCTGAGGTTCGCTGCCCTCTCCAAGGTGGATGAGAGGATTAACTTCTTTCCTGTTGGGAGCAATGTGAGCTACGTCTGCCGCCCCGGCTATGAGAACACCTCGGAAAGCTCCCCCACCAGCACTTGCCTTGAAAACCTGGAGTGGTCAGAAGCGGCTGAGCTGTGCAGGAGTGAGTATCTCTGCTCTGCTCCATATGGCTCTATCTGGATGGGGTACATGCACAGGACAGGTGCCGAATTGCAGTTGTGTTGCACTTCAAAATGCAGACCAAACGTGTTTCTTGGTGAAATCCATGTAATATGAAGGCTGGTGGTGTGGCAGCAATACCTTTTTCACAGCTGAGTAACTTACTGCTAAGCTATGGAAACGGGAATACCTCCGCAAACAGCCTCCTCTGCCCTCCTGCAAGACGCTTGTGAAGTAAAACACTGGTCCCACTGGGTATAACCCCCGAAGTCTGTTCCTTGCTCGGGAATTCCCCATCAGCGCGGGTTCTGCTAACGCCAGCCTCATTCTCCGGCAGGGAAAGCCTGCGGGGAGCCAGGAGCGCTGCCCGGGGGCAGGTTGGTCGCACTGACAGACCTGCAGTTCGGAGCCAGAGTGAACGTGTTCTGTGAGGACGGGTGAGTCCCGGGGCAGTGTTCTAAGCTCCAGCACACTGCTGCTGGAATACAAGCTCTGGTCCAGGGCAGGGATGCTGGGATGTTGTTTCACTGTGTATCACTCCTGTGGTGCTGCTCAGAGGGCAGAGCATGGGGCTGCTTTTCCCATTTGAATTGCATCTTTGGGCTGGGAAGGAATAAGACATGGCTGAAGGGAAGGGACTGGGTTTGAATCTGTGGCTGCCTTTTCTATCAAGTGGCATGCAGAGGAGATTGAACTGCCCCTGTGCATCAACCGAACAGGGCTGGTTGTACATTCAGTTTATAACTACATGCATCAAAACAAGTTGCTTCAAATATTTCATAGAATCCCAGCCTGGTGTGGGTTGAAGGCACCTCAAAGCTCATCCAGTCCCAACCCCCTGCCACAGGCAGGGACACCTTTCACTAGACCAGGTTACTTCAAGCCCCATCCAGCCTGGCCTTGAACATTTCAGCTTAGCATATTTGAGATATATGGAATAAAAAGGGGTTCTGTTGGAATGTTTAAAGGTCAGTGATGTCCAGAAGACTGCAGTGAAGCACTCTTTCCATTCACTCACTGAGCTGACTCACACTTTCTGCCTGCTTTCAATCAGGGCCACTTGCAAAAGACTGACATGCAAAGGGAAGCTCCTGCATCTCCAGCTTGTATCCCTCCCTCCCCAGCAGGAATTAGCTGGTATCATCTGGCTCGTTCTGCCAGTCTTTACAGCTGCCTCAAATACAACACCGGGGTTTTTCCTCCAGATGTTCCCTTGGGATGGATGCTGGGGAAATGACAGCATGTCCCACCCTTCTGCAGTTCAGCTGATCTTTGGAAACACCACATCAGGGTGGAGGAATAACGTTATCTGTATAAGCAAGATCAGATACTATCGATCCTGCCCAAATGGTGATTTTTTTTTTTTTTTTGAGCAGAAGGATGTAAATCAGAGGTTGGGAAAGGTGCTGGTGCTGTCAGGACAAGATGTATGGAGCTTCCAGGAAGCCAATCCATCCCAAATGACACAGAGACCCTCACTGCCCCTCACTGGTCCCTGCTGTTGTTGGCTTTCCTGGCAAGCCTTTGGCAGAACAGCTACACCTTTACGACCCAAAAGCAACGTGCCAGGGAGGAGGCAGCACTGGAGCCTGCGGGGAGCCTGCCCTCCACCGCCGCAGCGGGGCTGTCAGCAGGTCCAGCACACCGGGTACTGCAGCACTGCTGGGGTGTGAGCAGCAGCTGCGGCTGAGTCCCAGCCTTTAGAGCTGCTGCATGAGCTCAGGAGGGAGCTCCTCACCTCACCCCCTCATCCCAGTGGGAGGCAGTGGCGTGGGAAAGGCACTGGATGCCAGCAGCATCAATCCCAGGGCTGTTCTCCGCCAGGAAGCAGACAGGGGGAAACAGTTCCTGATTCAGCAAACCCGAGCCCGTGTGGGAATCCGTGGCTAACCTCAGTGCTGTCTGGCATTCGCATCCCCCATCCCTGGCGGTGCTCAAGGCCAGGTTGGACACAGGGGCTTGGAGCAAGCTGCTCTAGAGGAAGGGGTCCCTGCCCGTGGCAGGGGTTGGAGCTGGGGGAGCTTTAGGATCCCTTCCAACCCAAACCATTCTAGGATTCAGCACATGCTCCCATCCTTGCAATGGAAGATGCTCACTCCAAAGCAGAGAATCACCTAAAAACCAGGTTAATAAGAATCCTGGCAGACAGCAAGGTGAAGGAGCTCTCCTGTTATCAGTGTGTGCATCAGTGTGCACATCTGCTTGCTTTAAATTTGCCTTTTCTCCATTCTTGAGCAGACAGGTAACGGGAAAAAACCTGCATTCTCTGTTTCTGAATAGTTACGCAAATGCTTCTTGTCTTGTGTATTCTCACTTAGGTACAGATTAAACGGGAGTCATTTCATCCAGTGTCAGCTTAAAGGGAACGATGTTGCATGGAGTACACTTCCAACTTGTGAATGTAAGGTTAATCCACCCTTATTTCTGACTTTGCTCCAGTAGATCCTAATGTCCAGTCTAAGCCTGTCTTCATACACTGTTTTTGTTATGTTATGCGGCAGCTCCACCACCACCACCGCAGCTGAGAAATCCCCATTGTGCTGCTGACACTGCCTTTCAGCAGTTTTGTTCCCACAAGTTCAACCTATTTTCTCATGACTTAAGGCTGCAGCGAAGTCGATGGGATGAGGCTTGCAGGAACCACCAGCCAGGGCATGGCAAGGGGTCTGTTGGTGCTCTGGGACCCTGGGAATGGAGAAGGAGAAAGATGTGACAACAGAAAGAACAAAAAGAAAGAGAATCAAGGAAGATCTCAGTGCCAGTTTTTACCCCTCGTCAGCTGTCCGGAAGTTTATTGTCTTTGAGTTTTAGATGGACTCAAGAAACCTTTTGCATTTTCATTATTACTAAAGCTTTTAGCAATGCTTATGTTGACCTTTTTCCCTGCAGTAATTACCTGCTCTTCACCTCCTCACATTAGCAATGGAAAACATGACGGTGAAGGTGTAAAAACCTTTGCTTATAACTCCACCGTGACTTACAGCTGTGACTCTGGCTTCCAGCTCGTTGGGAATGGGAGCATCCGCTGTACCAGTATGGACAAAACAAAGGGAGTCTGGAGCAGAGCTGTGCCTGCGTGCAAAGGTGGTTTCATCTGAGTTTAGTATTTATTGTGAATTCAGTATTTAGGATGCACCAGCTTAAAATACTGTGATTGCTTAGTACAGGGTATGCCAGGTGTAAGTCATACTGCAATTTGAAAGAGGGAGAAAAGCAGTGCTGAAGTGAGTAAGGAAAGGGCTGTGTAAGAAAGGTGCGGTGCTAAGCGATGCTTACTCTTTATACCCTAGAGAAAAAGCTACCTGTCAAACTTGGAGTAAAACAAATGGAAAGGAGTCCTCCTCCCCAAAGTGAGTCGGAAGGATCTTACACTGAATCAAGACCCACGTTTCCCAGCTGAATTTGCTCCTTTATCACATTTAAGCCATTTCACACCATGGTTTTCATTCTTTCAGGTTCCCAACAAAAAGCCATCCACCCAGCTAAGAAGAAGGCTTCGAAATGGGAAATGAAGCTCAGCCTTTATAAAAAGTCACTCCAAAATACCATCTCTTACTCCCATTCTTCTTCTTTCTCCAAGACACCAGGTCAGTCCCTGTAGGATCACTGGAGTTCAGGGGAACTCATCAGTGAAACTCCCTGCTTGCTCCTATACCTGGAACTGCCATTTTCGCCCATGTTCCTCTTCAGTGTCCAGGAGCTGTGCTACCTCCCCATTGAGATTCGTTGTTCCTTTGTACAAAACCAAACCCTACCATTCTCCTTGGACCAGCCAAGGATCCATGTGTCCTCCGAAGTACATGGGCATCTCTGGCATCCTCCCCCAAGCTGGCTGCTTTGAGAACTTAAAACGGTCTCAAGTTGCATCATTTTGTGGAAGTAAGTGATTTCTTTTTTGTTGTGTTCTTGCCTTCTATGAGATTTGACTGCATTGACCTCCTCTTACAAAAGCTTTGCTTTGTATTAAAGGTATTTCAGCAGTTTTTTCCTTGCCCTCATCTGATTTAGCACAGATCTGATTTAGCTCAGTTTTTGCCATATTGAAAAGCAAGAGGTAACTTTGGCCCATGTGGCCTTAAGAGTGTTGGGACTTCTCTCCTTGTTCAGCAGCGAGAGGCAATGTACTAACACAGACCTTGTTCCACACCAGCGAGGTCATGGGCAGCCCGGAGAAGCTGGAGGTGGCAGAAGTGTTGCTACAACAGATTTCCTATCCGGTGCAAAGGATTCTTGTACCCATAAAAAGGGTGAGTGTTGGGAATGGTGTCTGGGTGGGGACTGCAAGCATGCAATTGGAAGTGATAACGATCAAGACAGAGCACCCATTGGGAGGTATCTTTTAAAATGATGGTTAGGTTTTAATGTTCCATTAACTGATTGAAAATCACACAAGAGTTTGCCCATTCCCAGCTGAGCTTTTCTCTCTTTCAGCAATTTCCAGCAACATCCTGAATGCAGTCAGGATTCCCTATGGATCTTTTCAGCCTTTCCTTCAGGCTGGGAAGCTGCAGATCTTCAGGAAGCCCCCAGCCCTCTGCAGAGGTTCTGGTGGAGCTCGGTTATATCTCAGCCAGTCCAACTCAGTGTTTCCGCACCTGCAGATCTCCTTGCTCGCAGGCAGCACCACACATACCAGTGCACAGGAGAGGCTGTAAAAGACCCACAGCGATCAGCCAAGATGAGCTGCTCCCTTCACTGCCCAGGAATTCCTGGCTGCAGCATGCTCCAGTTGCAGATACACCCAGGCAGGGTTGTGCTGAAAGCCAAGTACTGACTTCCCCCCTGCAAAGTTAGGAGCTCATTTCTGTTAGGAAACCACAGTATTTTAGATGCTAAATCGAATGTTGATCTGTGTACCTTCCGTACTTGAAGCACTTTCTTCAGCTAAAGTGTTTTCTGTCTCAGACCCAAGTGCTCTGCAGTTCCTATCTCTGTTCAGACATGAACAATAACAGCCACTGGGTACCTACCAGCCATGAAGAAGCCAATTCTGCTGTCCCGAGGGAGGAAGGCCCCTCTGCAACGCTGCGGGCTGGGAGCACATGGACTCCTCCCAGACACAGAGAAGGAACTGCTAAATACACCCTCCTGTGTGGTCACACTGCAAGAGAGAACCTGGAAATGGCAGGGTTATGCTGCTGGCCGGCTACTGTCTTTGCTCTACACTGAACATTAAAGCTCCCAAAGTCTTAATGGGATTTTACTTGCAATTAGTAATAAATGGTAATTGCTTATAAAGGGTAGCCTGTGAATTCAGCTGCCTGCTCTTCCCTTTCCATAGCTGACGCTGTTTTCAGGAAGGTATCAGCTTTTAGATACGTGTTGGCAATGTTCAGATTTGGGGTTCTTTATCAGCACTCTTGTTTCTTTTCTAAATGGCCTCATATGAAAATTTAACTTGGTTTCTTCAGAAAAAGAAAGAAAATGCACGCAGGAATGTTTGGGAATGTGAGTGTTTCTGGTAAGTGATGTTACCAGTAAGGCACACCTGCCTTAATCCTGCTCAGTGTCCTGGTCCTGAGCTGTGGCTCCCCAGCTCAGCCCGGGCAGACCCAGGGACATCTCCAGGAAGGCTCTGGGAGCTGGGAGCTGCTGCCCTGCCCAAGGATGGAAAGGAGCCGAGGTCTGTGGAAAGCCAAGAGCAGCTCCAGCAGCTCAGCCCTGGTTTGCTGGAAAGCTCGTGCTGTTCCAGGTCCAAGCCTCGCAGCGTGAGCACACACAGAGCAGCGTGGGTCAGGCTCCCCTCTGTGCTGTCGCTTCTGCCATCACCATCTGCTTGGCCTGATTTCTGCAGCATGGGGAAGGGATGTCAGGGCAAGATAAAGCCAGTGGCTCTTGCTGGCTCCAGCTGAGCAGGGCAGAGCCGCTATCGCAGGGCTCAGCTGCTGGGGCAGCTCCAGAGCAGGAGGTTTCGGTGCTCGGGCCGTTACTGGGTTAAAATGGGGCAGTAAATGGGGGCAGGGGGACGGGCTGAGCTGGGCCTGATGGTTTGGGCAGGTAGAGATGCTCCTGCATGGCCTCAGGTAGGAAAACAGCCTGGTTCAAGGGGCTCATCTGAGCTCTGTTGAGGAGATTCCACTGGGTTGAACCTCGAGCACTTGGCTCTTCTGAGTACGTAAGAACCCAGCCACTCCCTGAAACCCAAGTGTTGCAAGAGCTCTTTGCCAAATACTTGTGCGCATCTTGCTCTCCCTTGCTGAGGTCATTGCTGACAGCTCTTACAAGAGAATTCCCCTACATTTAACACCTCCTTTTTCCTCTTAGCAACCTCCTGTTGTATTGTGCAGCCACCATCCCAGCTCAGTGACCAGTGACCTGTAATGTGGCCAAGACATCTCTATATGACCTGTCAGCGTGGTCACAAGGAAGTGTTTGAAAGGAATATGTTATCCAGGCTGCTTGACTCCTCCCTCATGAAAACATCCCTTGGCCTCGTTGCAGGTGCTTTTGTTAGGTATGCTTGGAGCTTAAATTGTATTGGAAAGGGAAATCAAGTGGGGGAAGTAAACTAAAATAAAATGATGGAGCTTTCCAGCGGCAACATCAGCGTTTCCTGGATAACAAAGGCAGAGGGAGGCAGATGGGATGCTGCTGGCTGCCCTTTCCTCGGGGTGGGGTGACACATCCCCCTTAGCAGCAGCACTGCTCATCAGAGCGGGACAGGGCAGCAAACACAGCCACAACCTTTCCTTTGGCTCTTCCTGCAATCCGTGTGGAGGGCAGGGAGCCCAGAGCAGCTTCCCAGTGCAGGCATGGAGCTGAACAAACTGCTCCTGTGCCTGCCTGGGCCTTAGGACATCCCTGAGCCTCCCCTTCCATGTGAGGAGCTGCATGTCTAACTGGGAGAGTGACAGTGGAAACGCTGCCTTGTTCTGTGCATGGGTGTTAGAGAAGCAGCTCAATCAGCAGCTTCAAAGTGGAGCTGGTTTAGAGCCCTCTGGTCCCCTGTGCATCCCTCGGACCGGAGGAAAGCTCCCTTCTCCTCTCTCCTTGCAGAAAAACCTCTCTTCCAGGAAGCCTCTTCCTAGGGACAGGCAGGTGATGCTTGGAACTGGTTTGGGAGCCGGTGATCCCCAGAGGCTCAGTGCCCCGTCCCAGATATCACCCATGGACAGCTGGGACCTGCACGGAACTTCACCTCGGGCAGCACAGCCACGCTCACGTGCGACCCCGGCTACGTGCCCCTGGGAGCCACCAGCACGGTGCGGTGCCTGGCCAGCGGCAGATGGTACCCACGGGTGCCCAGCTGCATCCCAGGTACGCACAGATCCCTTTGCTCCTTACCTTGTGTCCCACGGGCCATCACCTGCTTGTCCTTCACTGAAAGCGTGTGCAGGAGCGGGGCTGCACGGTGGTACCACAGCGAGCTGCGCTGCCCCACCTTTGGCGGCTGCAGCATCTCCTTTCCCGTCCCTTCCCTCCCTCCCTCCCTCTCAGCTGCTCCGGGAGGGGCCCCGCTCCCCGCCCTGCTGGGGCCGCTCCCGGCTGCGCACCCGCTGCTCCGCTCCGCTTGGGTCCTGGTCCCGGCGCGCCGCGGCGGTGATGGGCTCCGGCCGCCGCCGCCCGCTCCTGCCTGCGCTGCTGCTGCCGCTGCTGCTGCCCGCGGCTTGGGGTGAGCACACGGGGACGGGAGGTGGTGGAGGGTGAGCACTGGTGTTCCGTGTGTGAGCCCCGTGAATGCACGCGCTCCGTGTGTCTGTGAGCTCCATGTGCTCCACACATGCTGTGTTCCACTGTGGGTGTGTGCTGCGGGGCTTGTGTGCTCCATGTGGGTGCATGTCCCCCCCTACATGTGCGTGCATGTCCCCCCCTACATGTGCGTGCTCCATGCATGTGTGTGCTCCATGCAGTGTAAGCTGTGTGCGGATGTATATGCCCTATGCACGTATGTTCTCTATGTGCTCCACGTGTGCTGTGCTACCGTAGGTGCGCGTTGTGGATGTGCGTCGTGGCTGCATGTGTTTCATTTGGGTGCGTGTGTCCTGTACATGTGTGTTGTCCATGTGTCTGTGTGCTCCACGCATGCTCTGCTCTACTGCGGGTGCACGTCAGGGGTGCATGTGCTGCGCTGTCCTGCACTCTGCGTGTCCCAAACCCATGCTGTGCCCTGCCCCGGGTACTCACGCTGGCAGCAGGCACCCCATTAAATCCAGGTTTGTTTTACTCCAGGTGACTGTGGGCCACTGCCAACCATAAGCAATGCAGAGCCCCTGGAGGACCCTCAACACCGGGAAAGCTTCAGCGTCGGCTCCATGGTAACGTACAGATGCCGTGCGGGTTACACGAAGCTCCCCTTGCTCTCAGATACCATACAGTGCCTTGCCACCTCCCAGTGGTCCAACCTCCCGGAGTTCTGTGGGCGTAAGTATTTCACTTTCTATGGAAAGAGTTGCTTAGAGGGGAACTCTGCTTGTGAAAACATCCACTGCTTGTGAAAGCGTTCGCTGCTTTAGCAACCGCAGCCTCAAGGGTTTCCTCACCCAAAGTGATGCACGATGAAGTTGCTCAGCAGAGAACCTCTCGCTGACCCTTTTTCCCAACCCTGCTTAGGTTGTTGGAGCCATGTGCTGGTGCTCATGCAGCAATAAAAGCAGGTTGTTGGCTCGTGGAAGCAGACGGACGAGGGGAGAGGCTGGCACCGCTGTCACAAGGGTTAGCTCGGGGGAAGATTTGGCACTGCCGGGAAGAACTGGCTGCTCTTCCCACCTTAAATGCTTCAATGGCGAAGCTGGCAAAGGAGGTTGCCCAGTAACCGGTTACCCAGAGAAGCTGTGGCTGCCCCATCCCTGGCAGTGCTCAAGGCCAGGTTGGACACAGGGCTTGGAGCAAGGTGCTCTAGTGCAAGGGGTCCCTGCCCGTGGCAGGGGTTGGAGCTGGAGGAGCTTTAGGGTCCCTTCCAACCCAAACCACTGCACGGTTCTATGAACGCAGAACACTGTTACCTTGGCTTTCTACCTGCACGCTCAGGGTGTCGTTGTCATTCCCAGGCAGCTGCCCCAGCCCCCCCCGGGTGCTTTTTGCTAAAGTATCACAGCAAGATGAAACCCAGAACTTCTATGGAGTTGGTACCACAGTGAAGTACGGCTGCCGCCCAGGCTACAGGAACACCACAGACCAGCTCCCCACCAGCACGTGTCTTGAGGACTTAACATGGTCAGAGGTTCCTCAGCTGTGTCAGAGTGAGTGTCCCTGTGTCATTCCCTTCGCTTCAGCATCCTTCCCCAGCTGCATCCGCGGGGCTG